AATTGCGTCATGTTGATATTTTCACGGAAAATTCAACTCCGATAGTGAATCCGGTAATATATCAATATGAAACATCATGAGCGAACAATTAGTAAGCGGGTAATATAGCGTTTTAACGAATTATAGCAATTTCAGTGTGTTAAATCGATTCTTTATCAACCTATACTAGAGAATATCTTGATTCAAATTTATAGCGATTTTATCGGATTTGTAGCCGATTTGGTGGACTACATACTGTTAAACCCAAATTCATTTTTATTCGATTACGCCCCTTATTTAAAGAACTTCGGGGTGAAAACAGATTCATAATTATAGCCCGCCTTTTCACAAGCTCGAAGCCAGAAAAATCATGAGACCGCCTCCACCAGTTAAGACCTTTTGGAGATAACCTATCCTGATATGTTTCTCTGGCCTGGCATTCTTTTTCGAATCATAGAAAAAAAGGCTATTTTTATATTTACATACGGGTTGTGGATCTCTCGTGATTAATAGGGATTAGCCAAATCGATCGTGTACGACAATCTTTATTAGAACTTGATAATTTATTAAAAATTGAGCATCGCTACCTCAGCACAATTGCAAATTCCCATAAAATAATATTAAATGTTACTAACATATTCCATCATATCTTTGTTAAATTCTTTAGTATTTTCCCATGAAGGACTATGACCAATATTCTTATATATAATAGTTTTACTATTTTTTTTCAAAGAAGCAAAATAAAGGCTATGTTCCATAATAAGCAATGCATCCTTTTCTCCAATGATATGTAAAGTAGGTATAGTTAAAGAACTATAAAATTCATCTAAATTGAATGGTTCTAAAAAAAAACAAAAATTTATTTCCCTTTCTTTTTTTTTAAAAAAAAATAATAATATAAAATAATACTTACTAGTAACTGTTTTACGATATCCGGAAGTTGACGTAAAGGCATTACCCAATAAATATGCATGTAATTCATCGCTAAATGGTTTAAAAGGAAATAATTTCATAAACTCATCTATTCCAAGAAAAACCTTATCATAACTTGTTTTAATTATATTACTAAGAGGAGGATCATCTAAGTTTATTATTGTATCATTAACGGGACCACAAACTGCTATAAAGCCATCAATTTTCATATCAGGATGATTTTTCATAAAAGTTAAAGTTATAGGTATACCCAATGACCATCCAACCAATACAATTTTCTTTTTCTTTTTAGAAGAAATTTTCCTAATCACAGCGGAAAGGTCTTCGCCATTTATATCGTATGAATATGAATTCTCGTTATCGGGTTTATCGCTCCTACCAAAACCACGATAATCATACCTTACGAGATGAAATTTTTTATTTAATTCGGGGTCAAACCATTGTGGATCCCAAGTTGTTCTTGAATGGAGAAATGCATTTGAAAAGAGAATTGTTGTTTTCGTTGGATCTCCTTTTTCATCTACAAAAATTTTTACTCCATTTTTTCCTTTAACATAATAACTTTTAGTACCATCATTTGGAGGATAAACGTCAAATGGAACTTTTACTGCAATTACTGCAGAGACGTTGAGGCAAGCAAGAATAAAAATTAAAATGGATTTAATTAAATTCATGATTGTGATGTTTTTGTCGGTTACGATTTTTTATTCCTTATTTATATGTTATTTCTTGATAAAAGAACTCATTTATTTGCATCATTATTGTGGCCTAATTTCGATTTTGTAAAAAAAGAAGGAATTAGTAAAAGAAGATAAAAATAAATATGTTTTATAATTAAAAATAGAGTAAATTTTAAAGTTTTATTAACAAATTGGTAATTATTCGTCATCATTTTTATTTTTTAGAAATTAAAACTTAAAGTTTTCGGCCCCCTAGTATGTTTCATAATTAAAGATAGAGTAAATTTTCTTTTTTAAGAACGGCAGGTCTTTAATATAGGTAGGATCCTGCAAAAATTTGGTTGACATTATCTATAAAAGGAAAGTTCTTCCCCTTCAAGTAAAATTTAAAGTTTTTATTATTTTTTAGAAATTAAACTTAAAATTTCGGCCCCTAGTATGTTTCAGCCCCTAGTATGTTTCATAATTAAAAATAGAGTAAATTTTAATCTTCTATTATTAGTTCCTTCTTTTTTACATGATGTATAACATAAAAATTTGTATCACCAATGTATCACTCTAGCTCCCAGACAGTTCCCGGCACTTCCTCGCAACCTTCCCACAACCTTACCGCAACTCAAATCACGAGATGATCGCCTAATCAGATTCGCGCAGTAACTAAGCCACCGTTATTATTCGATTAATCATTATATTATTGATCATTATATTTTTCAGCCTTGATATATTACGAACGCTAATTTATTCCCCGCCCCCTCATTTAAATCATGACGCACAAAAGCTCGAACCTGTTACTTCACTTCTTCACTGCTTCCCATAAAACCTTTGCGAAGCGCCTTAACGGCTAAAACCTTTCTTAATCGTAAAAATGTCTTTAGTGTGGAGCGAGGAAGATACCCGTTTTCTCTTCGACGAACGTAAAAATGGTAATGTGGAATACCACCAAAGCCCTAAACGTAGCAAGAGAATCTTCTGGGAAGAAATAGCAAATAAGCTTAACGAAATGCATAATACGAACTATTTCACCGGAGATGAATGTAACAAGAAATTCTTAGCTCTAACCCGAGCATATTATGTAAGTAAATATAACAATCAAGTTTCCTTGTATATACTTGACTTGATCTGATATTTTTGGTATATATGTAGACCACTGTAGCATACAAGAAAGCTAAGGCGGAAGCTGAGGCAGAAGCTGAGGCAGAAGTTAATACAGGAACTAAAAAAAAAGAGAAGTATTATTGGAGAAACATTTTTACGAAGAGTTCTCCACAGAATTTTGGAAAGAATCCGGTATTTATCCCTCCTTCGGTCAAGAGCTTTAGGAGATAGCCTAATCCTGTTAAGTTTTCTTTTTTCGAACTAAAGTGAGAAAAAAATGTTTATTGTTTCTAGGAGCACGACATTCTAATGTAGGAACGACAACATCTATCACACCGAGTAGACCACAATCATCAAGAATCGCAAGACCAATATCATCATCTGCAAGAGGTAGAACTGCTTTAAGGACTGGAACTACTTCGAAAATACCTCAAGCAATTCCTTCTCCTAATAGATCACGTTCAACAACACCTGCCATATCAAGGTCACCTTCTTCTAGTTCTAGACCCACGACGCCCTCATTCTCTCAAAGTGCCGAAACAATTAATGTTTTTATTAATTACATTGAGCCGGACTACCAAGAGTGATTTTATAAATTAGCTGGGTATTTTTTTTCGCTGGTATAGGCCTTGATCTTTGATCTGTGGGTTGAGGAAATTTATTTTTTTTTTTAATAAGATTTGCATAACTGTAAAGGTTCGCCTGGAGCGTAGTAAAAACAATAAAGCAAATGTAATACAATTTTATATGATAAAACTCTTACGAAGCGCGGTTATATCGGGCAAAACTTTATTATTTTTTAAGATCATAAGCTATATCATGTAGATTGGACGATTTTCCTGACGTCATGATCCGGTTAAATTAGATCCGAGTCAACTTTTCAGATCGCATGACGTACATTGTGTTACATGAGATCTGAAGGTGATTATATCACAAGTTCCCTCGATCCAGGCGCTAGCGAGTTTCTATAAATCACGAGATGATCGACCAATCAGATTTCACCTCCCTTGATCTATTGACATGATAGCTAAGCCACCGTTATTATTTGATTAATCATTATATTGATCAAATTAATTTTTCTCACCATGATCCTAATACATCATTCGATATTTTTTATAAAACGAATCCCTAGAGAATCTTCTCACCATGTAGTCAACTATGGAGTTCTCTGACACTCAACTTCGTATCCTCATTGATGAACGTAAAAATAGAAATATGGAATATTACGCTACTACAAATAAAAAGAAGTATCTCTTTTAGAATGAGATTGCAGACAAAATAAATAATCAAGAAAATACTAATTACTTCACCAGTGAAGCCTGCCATAAAAAATTCTTAAGCTTCATGAAAGCTTTTTACGTAAGTAGTATGAGTTCTCTTGGACTACCTGCTTAATTAGCTTTGTTAACTTTGTCTGATCAATAATACTTATTATTTTTTAAACGGCGGAAAAATATAAAAAAGGGGTCAGAAATAAAAGGAGCCTAGTTGGAAAAGATATTTATGAAGAATTCTCAACGAAGTTTTAGCTAAAGTCTGATATGCTTTCAGAGAAAATTTTTTGAGAGATTTTTCATTGATAATAACATATCTATTTTATTTGATAGAACCACAATTCGGACAAGCAAGTAGTAGGATGAGTTCGTTATCTTGCTCATCAATCTCTAAATCTAAGCGAACATCAGATATTACAGATTTATTCGAGACCTTCTTTTCAGCATTAAGACCGGTAATACCATTCGTGAAAGCATCTGCCGTTTCTAGGTCTACCACTCCTACACTCTCCTCCTTTTCACAAAGTGCAAGTGTAATAAATGTCACTATTAATTATGGTGGTGATGATTCCAAAGGACTATAGCTTCCTTGCTAATTTTATAATATCTCTCTAGGTCAAGATACTTTAAATTAAGACATGAACAAGCCATTTCTCTGATAATCACATAGGTAATTTCACAAAAGCTAAGGATAAGTTCTTAGAGCCTGTGGTAAGAACAAATAATACTAGAAATCGATGTTTTAGTAATCTCTATGCAATGAGAAATATTTAGATATTTTAATTTACGGCATGCATTTGCTAAAGTAAGCAGGTCTTTATCAGTTATTATTCCAGCATAACTGCTTACATACTTATCCTTTTCCAAATTGAGATGCTTCAAATTTGGATATGATTCTACTATTTGATTTAGCACTTTATCACTATATCCTGTACTTTTTCTGAAATCTAAATTAATTATATTTGAAAATAAACGCATAATATTATTGATTTTTTTATCAGAAAGTGAATGGTAGTATGAAATTTTAAGATGAGTTAGATTCAAGCTATAAACTGGTTGTTTCTTTCCACATATTAATTTTATGAAATTTTTCAATTGAGGGGATTCTTTGCACGATAATAGCCATTTCCCTTTAAGTCAATGCATTTTCATAGAATAAGAATACCGCATCTGTATCAAAGTTGGCAAACAAATAGAATGGGATAGAGGGATTTATCTATCGCTAAGAAAAATAAAATCTGTTCTAATACTTCTGCTATATTAAAAATACTTGATTGTGTTATAAATAATATATGCTGTATCTTTAATCAAAAAAAATAGCAAAGCACTTTCGGAGAAATTATGCAATCACTGCTCTAGCCTCTTTAGTATCTCATCTAATGCAAGTGCTTGTAAACCACCTATTAAAACTTTAATCTCATTTTCAGGTGATAATCCTTTTAATAATACGTATTTAAGGAATTCTTCACTATGGTCAAAACTCTTGTTATACTTTTTCAGCTTCAAATAAAAATCCTTGACTGTATTTTCGCCTTGAACCAATGACATAGTATGAAAATCAAAAAGAGTCTTTCTTTTAGACCATTCAAGATTTACCTCCTTTATTCATATATTAGCGCCTGAATCAATTACTACTCTAATAGGGATATTTTTTTCAACTGCATAATTTACAACAATCATTTTATTATGGTATATATAATATTCAAAAATAAATCTCTATTCAACACTCAGTAAGATAATCAAGTGATTATACAAAGTGTCTGATTCTTTGAATCCTTCTGGCTCACTTTAAACTACCATTCGCTTAACCTTTCTCGGTCATACCTTTCTTCATTGCTTAAGTGGGATATCCATTTTTTCTCTTACCTTTTTTATCAATCAGTAAGAGAACTATTTCTTATATTAAGTCGACTTGAGTCTCCCTATCTACACATTTGTCAAGATCTTTGAATTCAGTCTCTAAGGACTTTACATCTTTTTCTAATCTTTTTACTCTTCTTTCTAAAGTGTTGTATTAGAAATAATAGTCTTCTAATTGTTTCTTTAATGCCCTATTTTCACCAGAAGCACAGTATACACTTCTGCATTTTTCTCATTTAGTCTAAATATCTACACTAATTTTTTTATATATCTAATAACTTCCTGCTCACTATATGTACTATCAGATGAAGATTTTGATCATTGGTTAATTCCATTTTGCAATATTTTATATATGACATATCTTTAGGCAAACGAAAAAATAAAATTAATAAATGATATCAGACTGATAAATCAGTCCTTCTAATCTGATCCCTCTAGAATCCTCTCTAACCCTTATATCAGAGACCCGGAAAAATTCCATTTTTATAATAAATGAATAAATCAGAATTTTTGTTGTATAATGAAGTAAAATGGAATTTTTTGAATTTTTGATAAATTTTTTATGACACGTGATAATTAACCAATAATAATCACAGATCAGTGGAAGAAATTAATTTAAAATCTTTCAAGTAGAAGGATTATCGTTATATATCCAATAATTGTTACAAAGATAATGGAAGAATATTTAAATTTTTGCATAATTTCCATTTTTTTTTCCTTTAATTTTCCATAATAATAAATGTTAATTTTTTTACTCTTAAAATTTTTGATTAAAATGCCACCTTCTATTACAGTTACTGTTTCATCGTGTACGCGAGAATTTTCTGAAGATTTTTTCGCAAATAATAGAAAACTTATGTGTCATTTTTGTGATCATAGTATTAATTTTCAAACAAAAAATACAATTACTTCTCATATAGGTTCTAAAACACACCTTCGTA